GGCCGGACCGCAGACGGCCGCTCCGCCTGCCTCCTCCGCCTTGCCCCCGTTTCTCCCGGGGGTCGTGGGGCAGACCCTAGGGCAGGCGGAAGGGTGCCCCCCACTCCTCCGGGGCCGTGAGAGACGGTGGGGGTGGGGCAGGGGGCCCTCGCCCTGGCGCAATGGGGAGGGGGCGGGCAACGATGAGGCCGTTGACTCGGAAAGCCTCCCGGTGGGTCTGGGTTGGAGGAAGTGACTCTGGTGCGAGCGTCTTTACCCGGAGCCCTGTCCTTGCTTTGGGGAAGGAGGTATTGCGTTTGCCTTCTTCCCAGTCCTGGTTCCTAAAGAGTCGACGAAAGACTCTGGTACTAGGTTTGCGGTGTAGAGTAAGACCCCCGAACAACCCGAGTTAATACTTAATGAAAAGCAAGCCAGGAACTTGGACTTATAAACATACTAAGTGGCAGGTATTTGTTGAGACACACGTAGGTTAGTCAACACAGGTTGGGATTTAGAATTTGAATTTGGGGGTCCTTTACCAAATGAAATTTCAGAGAACTCTCACAGTGTTGCTTCTGTCTCATTACCTTTAAAATTCCCATCTCAGTTTATATTCCACTATTGGCCGTTATAGACTATTTTCTTCATCTTTGCCTGCTTTTCCTCATGAACAATATTTCTATCTTAAATCCTGTAGGGCGCAATGTCTGAACAAGAGCGTATACAGGAATGCCTGAGGAAGGAAATAAGGTCACTTCTCATTTCCACCAAAGATGGTTTGACCCCACAGCAGTTGGAAAAGGAGTACCTTTTGATGGTTGGCAACAACTTACCACTCCGAATCCTTGGGTATCGGTCCACCATGGAGCTGGTGCTGGACATGCCTGATGTTGTCTATGTCTGCCCCCGTGGGGATGGTACTGTAATACTGAAAGGTAGGTTTAAGATTTGAAGGTCTATGAACTTTGTAATAATAATCACTTAGTAAAAAATTGTTCTAGTTCTGCAATTATCCTGCATCCTAGGCAGGGGATCTTAATTTTTTGAGGGAGAAGGGGAGACATAGGCACCTTTGAGGTTGTGGGCAGAGTTAGAGCTTTAACAAAATGAGGATACCTTTCTCTAGAACACTGTGCATTCACAAAAACTACATTTTGCATATGATTTAAGATGATTGCACCTTAAGTCAGGAGAAACTTAACAATGGACCTTTTTAATTATAAACTCATGTTTTAAATTTCATGAAGCACAGAAAAATAATTGTAGGAAAGTTTAATGTTTATCTACAGTGTTTGAGATCTTAGTTAGCAGCAATGATAATAAATTAGGTGTTACCTTTCTCTCTTCATTCTCTGGTAGAGAAGCTAACAAGCTGTTGTCTAAATAATGCAAGAAATGGAGGAACCAGGGATTCACGTTTATCATGCTACCTAGATACACAGCTCCTTGGAGAGTTAAAAATTTTGTAACTACAAATGCAAAGAATAAAGAGGGAAGTAAGTTTTCACCTAAATATGATTTCTTTTTTCACATCTTCGTAGCCATTCCAGATGAATCCACCAAAGGAATAGCAAGTTTAGTTGCAAAACAGAGGAGCAGCCATAAGTTTCGAAACTCCATGCATAAGGGAAGGGCCAGTGTTTGCTGTGGGCCCAGCTCTCGACGGCGAGTACCTTATCGAGGAAGGGTACCCCCTATTCTTCCAGCTGTCGTGAAGAGTGAGTTGAAAGACCTCTTGGCATTATCTCCTGTTCTCCTTTCTGATTTTGAAAAGGCATTTGTCAGGCGATTTGGACGATCATTCCAGTACGTGCAGTATGGATTCCTCTCTATGTTTGAGGTGCTGAATGCCGCATCGGATGTTATTTCTGTAGAACAGACCAGGGCAGGTTCTTTGCTGACCCTGAAGAAGAGCATATCAGAGGAAAGGCAGAGAGGATGGCCGGCAGGTAAGCATGTGAGCACTGGTAACTGTATTACGGATCAGCAAATTTTGGAACAGGCGTGGTACACATAGAGGTATATAATGGCCAATCTCCAAGCGTTTGTTGAATTTGAATCCTGGCTCTACCACTTGGTAGCTGAATGATCTCAGGCAAGTTACTTAAAATGTCTAGGAATAATAATACTTGCTTCTTGGGATCATGCTGAGAATTAAGTGAGATGAGATCAGTAAAGTGCCTCGCATTTAGTAAGCTCATAATAAAGTGGTGGCTATTATTATGAAAACACAGGACCAGCTCTCTCTAGAGGGCTGTAAATGAGCATTAGTTATATGTGTTTATATAGAGAAGATATGTCATGGAAAATGAAAAATTTCAAAAATAATACTAGTTGGTAGCATTTACCACCTGGTCTTTGCTATCACTGATCTTTGACCCTAGCAAGCACTGTCGTAATTTATGTAGCATAGTGATAACCACCTTATTTGCATAGCATTTTACCTTGGATTCTCATTCCATAGACTGGTTGGGTGAGTAACTCTGTTGTACAAATAAAGAAGCCAAAGCTCAAGAAAGTTAAGTGACTTTTTGAAAATTTCATGGCTAGAAAAGGGTACAGTTAAGGTTGGATGTTGCTCTTCCACTTATCCAGTGCTTTTCCTACCCCAATCAGTGTTTCTCTAAAAGGCTCAGAAGACTGATATGATCCTTTGTATAGTGTCTCTCTACCCCCTTGACCATATGTACAACCGCCAGAAATAAACTAGAAATTGTTACTGACAATTTTTCTCTCCTTTTGTTCACAAAAGGTAAAAATTTTATCCAGCCTTTTAGAATGAAACAGGGGTCATATCCCACAGGCTTCCCAGTAGCAAGGGCACGCTTTTCACAATCCACTTCAAACATGAAACTACCGAAGCAAATATTCAATGTGGAAAAGATGTCTAAGTCAAATGTAGCGGAGACTTCAAGGCTGAATCACTCTGAAAAATTAAACCAGGTGAGATATATGAATTTGGAGATAGAAATACACCAAAAATATGTTAAATTAAGTGGTTATTACTTAGATCTCATGGAAAAGCTGACTTTTCAAATTCAAGTCAATGAATGAATTCGTTTATTTCAGATTTAACTTAAGCACTTTCTGTGGTTCTGTGGATTAGTAACAAGTGAGAGGTGGCAGTGAGAAGAGTACAATTTTACCAACTCCGTGGTTTCTGCTACTTTCTGCAGATGACTCCCAAACCTGTATCTCTAGTTCCAGCTTCTCACCAAAGTCATAGAAGCATATTTGCAACTTACCTGATGAATATCTTCACCAGAATGGCTGGCCCTGAGCACTGTAATCCTGGTATTTTTCTGTGACTATAATGCTGACAGATTTTGAGTTAAAAAACTACTAGACTACAGCCAACAAAATCCTGGTTAAGTAGGCAAGATAATGTAAATAGAGCTCAAAATAAGCACATGGAAATTAAATTTAAAACACAAAAGTGCTTTATTTCTGTAACTTTTAAAAATTGGCTTTAGTAACATAATTTACATATAATAAAATTTGCCCACTGAAAATGTACAGTTTGAGTTTTAATATATGTATCTAGTTGTGTAGTCACCATCAAAATCAAGAAACAACATTTCCGTCATCCTGCAGAATTCCTTCATGCCACTTTGTAGTTTGATCTCTTTCCCCAGCTACAGCTACAGACGACCGCAGCTTTTCATAACTATAATTTTGACTTTCCAAGTTTATGGAATTAAATAATATCTAGCCTTTTGTGTCTAGCTTCTTTACCTTAACAGGATGCTTCTGAGATTCATGCAGTATGTATCAGTAGTCTGTCCCTTTTTCTTGTTGGGTGTCATTCCATTGTATTAATATACCTCAATTTGTTATCCATTCACCATTAGCTAATATTTGGGTTGTTTCCCATTTAGGGTGTTTGAATAAAGCCGCTGTGAACAATTGCTTACACTTTGTATGGACATAGACCTCATTTCTTTTGGGTCAATACCCAGGATTAGGATTGCTGGGTCATACAGTAAATGTGCATTTAACTTTTTCCACTATTTCCAAACTGGCTGTACAATTTTACTTTCTCATGAGCCATGAATATGAGTTCCAGTTGCATCTTTGTTAACTTTTGGTATTGTCAATTTAAAAAGTATTAGCCATTTGAGTGGGGTGTTTAGTAATATCTCATGATTTTAACTGAAGTTTCTCTGATGGTGAATAACATTGAGTATCCTTTCATAAGTATATTTGCCATTTGTATATCTTCTTTGAAATGTCTGTTCATATCTTTACTCATTCTTAAAAGTTGAGTTGTCCTTGTATTGAGTTGGAAGAATTATTTATATGTTTGGGATACAAGTTCTTTATTGAAGACGTGTTATGCAAATATTTTCTTATTTCTTATTTATACTTGCCTCTTCATTTCCTGAATCCTGTCTTTTGTGGGGAAGTCTTTAATTTTGATGCAATCTAATTTATCTATATTTTTGGTTCTTGCCTCCCTAATAGATTTTTGCTTAATCCCAAGTCACAGAAATGTTTCCTCTAGAAGTTTTATGATTTTAATTTTTAGGTCTATTATCCATTTCAAGTTAATTTTTGAAAAATATTCAAGGTATGGGTCAAAGTTTTCTGCATATGGATAGCCAGTTATTCCAGCACTATTTATTTATGTATACATTTTTAATTTTTTTTTATCTTGGACTTCCAGTTTATTCCTTCCTACCCCCTTCCCCCGCTGGTAACCATAAGTGTGTTTTCTATGTCTGTGAGTCTATTTCTGTCTTATAAATAAGTTTATTTGACTTTTTTTAGGTTCTGCATATAAACGATATCATAAGGTATTTTTCTTTCTC